CACCCGCCCGGATGTCATCATATCCTGTTTTTGATGCTCTGCACATGTGTGGAAGGCTCTGCGCATGCGCGGAAGGCTCTGCGCATGTGTGGAAGGATCTGCGCATGCACGGAAGGATCTGCGCATGCACGGAAGGATCTGCGCATGCACGGAAGGCTCTGCGCATGCATGTAAGGCTCTGTGCATGCATGTATGGCTCTGCGCATGTGTGGAAGGCTCTGCGCATGCGCGGAAGGCTCTGTGCATGTGTGGAAGGCTCTGTGCATGCATGGAAGGCTCTGCGCATGCATGGAAGGCTCTGCGCATGCACGGAAGGCTCTGTGCATGCATGGAAGGCTCTGTGCATGCGTGGAAGGCTCTGCGCATGCACGGAAGGCTCTGCGCATGCACGTATGGCTCTGCACATGCACAGAAGGTGGTGTGCATGCACGGAAGGATCTGTGCATGCACGGAAGGATCTGTGCATGCACGGAAGGATCTGCGCATGCGTGGAAGGCTCTGTGCATGTGTGGAAGGTTCTGCGCATGCACGGAGGTTGAGTGTGTGAGCAAAGTGAGCACACGTGCGCGCGCACTCACATTTGTGAACCAGTAGCAAAGGTAAATGAATACCACCCCTGATATAATTCCTTTCCTTTTATTTCCTGCTTTCAAATTCTTTTGCCCACCAATTTTTCATTCTTTTTTGTGTTTTGCAAACTTTTGCTGACCCCTCCCCCCCCGCCGCCCAAAGGAATGATGGGTTCTGTATGATCACTCTGGCATTCTTATTTCAGATAAAAACATTTCCACTGATTTATATTCAGTAGCATACCAATGTGGCATAAGGATGCTACACTCAACTGGTTTAAAGAGAAGTGTAATGTTGGCAACATTACAAAAGCTCATATGGAAAAACTGCTCTTGTTTGGAAAATATGCAATTGTCATGTTTTATAAATTGCATTAGATGCATTTCAATTTGGAAGTATGTTTCTAAAGACATGCTGTTTTAAACAGCGATGTCAGAAGAGTCTAGACATATTCCATCAAGGCATCTGTTGTCAACACTTTGTTTCCCATCCTGATCGTAACAATAAATGTGGGTCTTTAAAATGCCATAAGAGTGTTGCTGCCTGCAGATGAGAGCAATAAAAGAGAATTTACAAAATAGAATTGTAAAAACGAAGGACAAAAGAGAGATGCTAGAGAGAGAGAATGGATGCTTCCCCTCACTTCTCTTCCTGAGCCTACCCGTTGCTTACTTCACCTCCCTCCAGAGGGGCTCCCAGTTGAATGAGTATGGCCGTAAACTGGAAAAAAAGGGGCCTAACCAGGCCATTAAAAGGTAACAGTTCCCCTTGCACATATGTGCTAGTCGTTCCCGACTCTAGGGGGTGGTGCTCATCTCCGAAGAGCCAGCACATATGTGCTAGTCGTTCCCGACTCTAGGGGGTGGTGCTCATCTCCGAAGAGCCAGCACTGTCCAAAGACGTCTCCGTGGGTCATGTGGCCGGCATGACTAAACGCCAAAGGTGCACGGAACGCTGTTACCTTCCCACCAAAGGTGGTCACCATTTTTCTACTTGCATTTTTTACGTGCTTTCGAACTGCTAGGTTGGCAGAAGCTGGGACAAGTAACAGGAGCTCACCTCATTACGCAGCACTAGGGATTCAAACCGCTGAACTGCCAACCTTTCGATCAACAAGCTCGGCGTCTTAGCCACTGGGCCACCGCGTCCCCTAACCGGGCCATTGGACACAGTTTATGCAAGCCAGACAACACTGAATTGTCAAGTGGTTATTTTGAAAAAGATTTTAACTTTGGTTAAACATTGGGAAAACTGTGAGCTTGAAGATGGCATGTTGTTGTAACTATATCCTGAAGGTCTTAACAGGCACTGATGTAGTATTGTAGAGATGTGGGGGGTGGGGGGAGGAATGAATGTTCAGGTTTGTTTTTCCTTCTTCTTTTGGGCAGGGGAATACTTTAATGTACCATTTTGTGTTTGCATGCCACTCAGAGATACGAGATGGGCAGCCATATATGAGATGGGCAGCTAAATAAATAAATGTTGAATTCATTCAACTTAAAGAATCAAGAAATTTTAGTGATGCCATTTGCTGACCGAAATTCTGATGGGGAAATCTGGAAGTTTTCCAAAGAATGTATGCAACCCTTTGGCTGCTAGTTCCTTATTCATCAACCTAGTTGATCCATCACCTAGTTTCTTGATCAGCTTGTTTTAATTAAGAGCTAATTGATAAGGGAGAACAGATCATTTGGTGATTTCATTCTTGATTTGCATATGCTTATATGAACTGCCTCCATCAAAAGCAATCATTGTGCCTTATGACACAGTGTGAATATCATTTTTATAGCTGTTGATCAGTGATGTCATTATTGTTTTAGATGAATCTTTACCAGAAGAAGAAAGACAGAAGAACTACAGAGCAATCAAGGATTTTCACTTGGCTGAAGTCTCAGCCTTGACCAAAAAAAGTCAGACAGAATAAATTCTTTCCATCTTTTCAGTTTCCACAATGATATTCACACTGCTTCATAATGGACAATTATTTTTGGATCGAGACACTTCATACAAGTATTTGCAAATATCCAGATTACTAGTCCAAAGTCACCCAACCTAGCATATTCTAATTTTGGTGGGGTGCAGGTAAAGAGAGCAAAGTATTTCTTATTCTCAACTCTGTATGCTGTTTTGTAATGTGGATTCTAAAAAAATCCATGTAGAGAATTTTTAATCTATTTGTCTTTTACCAATATTGCTACCCAATGAGTCTGGCTTAATTTTCCACAAATGATGCTTGGGCTTTTCTAGAATGCTAGAATTGGATTGGACAGCCATATGCATGAACTTCTGTATCAGATAGTCCAGATAACACTGATGTAATTCTAATTTTTTAAAATTCTAAAATAAAATGCTGTACAATTTAGTAGTTTTTATGTCTCACACAGAGGAAAGGATGATTCTCTTTCACATTAGTCTTTTAAACCTGTATGAATATTTTTTAAAAAAAAAATCTTGGCCACAGTCCAAGCAGGAAATAAAAGGAGGAATGCTAACATGCCAGTGAAATGTAGGCTGCAACCCAACACATATTTATATAAGAATAAATCCCACTCAGCATATGTTTGAATAAATCTTCCAAAGAGTGTAATGTTAAACATTGGTTAGAAGCTAAAACATGCATTTGTCTGAGTAAGCCCATTGCTCTTAATAGGATCATTCTAAAACAGATGCCCGCTGATTTAATTGGAACTTAAACTTTTTTAAAAATCATACCCAACTTCTGGCAAATGTTAAAACAACTTAAAACTTGTTTCAGAAAAAAAAATGAGTAGAGTAATCAATATCACAAGTATTTATTTTATGCTTGAGTTTCTATTGCAGTTGGTTACTTATTTTCAACAAATGGTTGCGTAACTATCACGGCCTTCTCCGTGATGGCTCCCTCTCTCTGGAACATCATTCCCCCAGAGATTAGTGGGGATTAGTTCCCACTCTAATACTCTTCCAGAAGGTATTGAAGACCTGGTTCTGCCAGCGGGCTTGGGGAACCCAGAGCGGGATGGAGCCCATTAAATGGCTCATGTGATCTGCTGTCGCCAGGGTGGGGTGTGTCTGATTTTATCATATTTTATTATATTAATTTATTTGATTCTTTTTATTAGTTATATTGTTTTAAATGAGGTTTTATATTCTGTAAGCTGCCTTGAGTCGCCATGGGTGAATAGACAGCAATATAAATTCAATAAATGAATAAATTAAATAACTAGACAAATGAAAAACAATATTTTTATACACATAGAGAGGGAGGAATAATACATAGAGGATGGGTTCAGATAAATCTTTTTTTCACAGAGCTGCATCCCTCAGCACCATACTTAGATTTTTTTTCTGGCCAAGATGCACACTTCTCTTTTCATTTTGTAAGTTACTGAGGCTACAGAAACATCATGATGATGATGATGAGGAGGAGGAGGAGGAGGACGAGGAGGACGAGGAGGACGAGGAGGAGGAGGAGGAGGATGCACTGACATCATTGACAAAAACAGAATTCTTCTTGGATACTCTTTGAAAGAGATGTAGAGTAAATACATTAAAATTTGTAACCAACCTGATCAGTGGTGTCCAAACACTGTGTGAGAACCTGAGCGTGAAGGCCATTAACCATATGGTCACTGGTCAAAGGCACCCCACATGGTCAAGAAGCTTCTCATACTTCCATAAATATGTAAAAGTTCGCCATGCTGTCAGTGTTTCCAAACAAATGTTGACTTTCAAATGAAACATGCTTAAGCAGTGATTTGCCATACAATAGATGGCCATCTGCTGTGCCCTGCCTGGCCAAACTGTTTTAATTAGCCTGCCCCAATTGGTGCACTTCAGATGGGTTGGGGTGGTGATTCCCAGCACTCTTAGCCAACTGTGTTGTGATTGGTGAGGGGGGGAGAGGACCGAGAATGGGGAGGGTGGTGGAATCAATCCCAGGACAGACATTATTCTTCTCTGTCCTGGACCAGGTGATTAATTTTCCCCCTGTTTCTATTTGGACTTCCTGCTGGGTCAACATTAATTAATGGAACTAACCAGCAATAAGAAATGAATGAACTCTCTATTAAATGTCCCTGTTAAATCTGTCCAATAATCACTCTGCAGTAAGCTTGTTAAATCTGTTGTTTACTTGGAGTTTTTAAATGCACTCTTAGTTTTAGACTGGTGTGAGTGTACAGATGCAAACATACAGCAAGAGAGGGAGAGAGAAGCCCGCACACTAGTAAGCAAATTGTCACTATCCAGGAATGTCTGTCATCTTGGTCCCAAAGGAAGGCACAACGGACTGCCCTTCTCTTTACAATCGAAGGTAAAGCGTAGCGCAGTTATTCGGCCCCCTTCTCTTTCCCCCTTTTAAATTAACTTTGCCATCCCCTGCCCTGCGCGTAGCTTTGCGCGCTCCGAAGCAACTTGTTAACATTCCTTCGGACTTCCTCCAGCGCGCAGGGCTGCGGGCCGCCCGTAAGGAAGTCTCGGAAGAGAACTCCGGTTCACCTTCTCTTCGCTTGGAAAGGACAATCGATCGCGGTTCAAGAGAAGACTTCCCCAGGCAGCCTTTTAAAAGGATGAAAGGCTGCCTTTTCCAAGGATCTGCCCTGTTGATGTTTAGCCATCAACCACCAGCTCCAGCTCCAGCTCTTTCCTTCATATATGCGTTAGGAGGCGAGATCGATCTTCCATCACGATTTTCGCTCCAAATGCCGGGTCAGTGGAATTGCCAAGGCCAAGCAACGATTCTCTATTTCAGGGGAAGCCAACCCTAAATGTCTCTCTCTCTCTCGCTCCCCCTTTCTCGCCGCTCCCCGGTGCCCATTCTTCCTGCCTGCAGGAATGCGTTGGCTACAGGCTGAACATCGCCGCCTTGCAAAAACGATGGAGCTGCTTTCCTAGACCCAGTTCAGATCCCGGGGAGCCCTTCTTAGCCAATGTGGAAAATCTCGGGAATGCGGAGGGAAGGTGAGGGATTCAGTCCCTCGGTCCACACAAAGAAACAGCGGTCGGCGTGTTCTCCCCCCCCCCGCCTTCTTCGCTAGGGACAGGTAAAGGCTTACCTTATGAGATTCTGCAAGCCCTGTTTGCTGGAATTCCGCCTCAAGATCGCACTGGTCATGGTGAGTGAAAATGAATGCGGGGCAGGGACGGAACTCCTGCTTGCGAACCCGCCTTCTTCTCTGCCCACCCCCACCCCAGTCCCTTCCCCAGCTTTTAAGTGTCTTGTTAGTTACTGTGGACCGACTCTCTCTCTCTCTCTCTCTCTCTCTCTCTCTCTCTCTCTCTCTCTCCCTCCCTCCCTCCCTCCCTCCCTCCCTCCCTCCTTCTTTCTTTCTTTCTCTCTTTCTCTCTTTCTCTCTCTCTCTCTCTCCCCTGTCTCACTCTTTTTTCCCCCCAGTTCAGGAAGTTCTGCAGCTGGTTTCCTTTTGTTTCTCTAAGTCCGCTATCCCACTCGCGCTCTAATACGCCTCCTCTTTCACCCCGACGCCCTCCTTCTCAAACTAGAAGAAACATCTAGGGAAAGAAAAGGATTTTTTAATTTTTTAATTTTTTGGAAAGCCGGCAAGAGACAAAAGAAATATTTTGCTTCCATCTGATGGTTAAAACACACTGTGAAGTCACAATTTTGTCAAAGACGCAGAGACATATGTTTCTTCCATCCTGTCAAAATCCAAAGTTCACTTGTTAAGAATGCAAAGCTGGATCGAAGATGTATTCTCTTAAGAGAGCAGAACCAGCCTGCATCTAAAGATCAGGGGTGAAATCCAGCAGGTTCTGACAGGTTCTGGAGAACCGGTAGTGGAAATTTTGAGTAGTTCGGAGAACCGGCAAATGCTACCTCTGGCTGGCCCCAGAGTGGGGTGGGAATGGAGATTTTGCAATATCCTTCCCCCAGGAGTGGGGAGGGAATGGGAATTTTGCAGTAGTCTTCCCCTGGAGTAGAGTGGGAATGGAAATTTTGCAGTATCCTTCCCCTGCCATGCCCACCAAGCCATGCCCCCCCAAGCCACACTATGTCCACCAAGCCACACCCACACAACCTGTAGTAAAAAAAATTGAATTTCACCACTGCTAAAGATGTTCTGCAGAGTTCTTCCAATGCATTGGTGTAAGCCTGTCCAACTCCGCCAGATACTCTGAAGCTTTGGCCAAGATTGGAACTATCAGAAAACTATTCTAGCCTGACCCAAGGCAATACAACTGAAATTGGGGCTATTGGGCAGCGTTCCCTAATTTCTCCAGAGGAAGCACTTCTGTGCAGAATTTAAAGGCTCAACAGGTCCACGAATGAACACGTGTGCTTATGTAGAAAGGATGTGTTTCACATCCATGCAGCCACTGCTCCCTGTGAACTTCCAAAGTAGGTGTAGTAAAAAACAAAACAAAAACCCATTTGTAGGATTGTCCCGTAGGAAACAGCTAGAGAAATCAAACAACCTTGATGTGGATGATTGAGAATCTCTATAGACATTTAGAGAAATCAAATTCTTTATTCTGAGATGGACAAAATAGCCTCATTTAAGTGATGAAAAGTTAACACAGAAGGTTTTTTTTAATGCAACCTTGCCATAGAGTTGATTTGGTGGCTATAAGAAGAATTTATCTTCACAAATATTTGCTGAGTATGTGATAAAAGGATTGACACTTCCAATTTTCAGTTTGGTAGCAGCTCACTTTATTGACTATCTGAAAATTTCCCCCAACCACCTTTCAGTCTAATAATGACAAATATATCCAACTGCATGTCAAGAAACATTTGTATATTTAAAGAAGGCTATTGCATCAAATTTAGTAATCCATCATTTTCTGTGGTTTTGTTAACAATCCAAAAACTTGTGATTTTTAACTAATAATTTCATCAAAACAATCCAATTTTCTTGATTTGTGGGACACCATTAACCATGAACTGTGCTCAAGCAACATACTGGATCAAAATTGCCAAGTTGGCTAGTTTTGGGCTCAATATGTCAACTTATTCTTTGGATTCTAGATTTGAGTAGGGCAAAAAATCAAGCTGGGTATATTTTACAAAGGGTTAACAGTCCATTCCTCATTCCTGGAGTTAGAACTAGTATTAGCCTTAGTCTCAAACAGAATATTCAGATTCCTCAACAAATAACATCCAAATTTTCTTTCAGAATATAGCCTGAAGCAATTCCACTGGCTTCAAAAAATTTGCCCTGGAGTTATCCATTTAAAGGCTGAAACCAGAATGTCAAGCCATCACCAGCAAAGATGGGAATGAAATGAAACGATGGTCCAACAGTCACCATGCTCTTATTATAGACTGGTATGCAGCAGAACTCATAGCAAACTGAGGAGGGGCAGAGAGGAATGTGAAAAGCTGACTTTGATGACAAGAAAAAGCATTGAACCATGGCATAGCCATAGTAAACATGGTAAGTCTGGGGTAGAAGGTGAGGACTGAGTTCAAAAAATGATAGCACAAATTATACTAGCATCATAAGTGCTACAGCTAGGAGTGTTGAGGAGCAGGAGACTATATGTTGAAATCTGGTCAATGTAGCCTGTGGAGATTGGGGATGGGTTCACCCAACACTCTAACTCAGTGATGGTGAAACTTTTCCACATGGAGTGCCAAAAAGGGAGCACTACACGCGTGCGTAGGGCCATGACCAGGAAGAGAAACAATCCATGGGGGCATGAGCATGCTGGATAAGGGACTTCTGGGTTCCGGCGCACACATGTGTGCCAGCAAGCAAGTCTTCCAGTTACTGCTGCACATGTGCACACATTGATCAGCTGGCTGGCATGCATGCTCATGCCAGAAAATGGAAGACCAGCTCTTCCGGTTTCTAGCACTGCCAATGTAGCTTGTGGAGATTGGGGCTGTATTCACCCAACACTCTAACCCAATGATGGCGAACCTTTTCGGCACATAGTGTTGAAAAAAAAGTTTGTGCTTGCATTCACGTAGCACCAAGTACTGAAAAGGGAGCATTATGCGCGTGCACTATGGCACAGGAAGAGGAGTAGCCCAGGAGGCATGCGCATGCCAAATAAGATACTTCTGGGTTCTGCGCGCCAGCAAGCAAGTCTTCCATTTTCCAGCACTGCCACATGTGCAAGACCAGCTGATTGTCATGTGCACATGTGCACCAGAAACCCAGAAGAGGAATGGGTGACACCACTTGTGCCAGGGGATATGGCTCCGTGTGCCACTTTGGATACGCGTGCCATAGGTTCGCCATCACGGCTCTAACCCATAGTTGAACAAAACAATATAAATTCATCCAACCATGGTTTAGAATCACATAAACAAGCCAACCACATGTTAAAGGTGTGTTGTAAATGGGCTGTAGTAGTTTATCTAATTCCCACCTGAGTAAGTAGTAAAAATATAGAAATATTCCTTTCAATCACTCCCTCCAACTCTAACACCATTCCCCGCTCTCAATTTTTAGACAGTTTATGAAGCTAAATGCCCAACAGTTTTTCCCAGTGCATGCATTCCCTAAGTTTATGGAACACTTATGATCAAGGAAAAATCAATAGATGTTTGGGAAGGGAACTTTGGGATAGTGAAGACAAACCAGTGGAAACATTAAGAGGTAAAATACACATGAGCCCACTTAGCCATTATTTTCTCCTTTTCCTTTCTTTCTCACTTACAGGTAGAGCAAGACTTCCAGTTCAGATCTCTTGCTCCCTATTTCATTTCAGATTAAGCAAAGCTCTTCTGAGTGTACCCTCACCTCTCGTTGAAGTCTTCAGGAAAAAAGGAAGATTTAATACAACGTGAGATGGTCTTTCTCCTTCTAGTTCCTTCTGGAGGTGCTAGATTAAATGGTCTATAATTCTTATGGTCAGTGCAGTTTGGTGGTAAAGAGGGCTAATACACCTGCATGGGATGAGATGAGGGGAAACTCACCTAGGTAAATCAGGGCACTTAGTTGATGGCCTATACCAGTGGTGAGTTGCACCCGGTTCGCACCGGTTCTATAGAACTGATAGTAAAACCGGCGGGAGGCCCCGCCCACCGACCCTGACATCATCAAAATGCTTCTGTGTTTGCGCAGAAGAGCACGCGTGCGAGCAAAGCAAGCGCAGGCACACGGCCCGGTTGCAAACCAGTAGTAAAGGTAAGTAGAACCCACTCCTGCCCTATAGCCATGATGGAGAGAAATATTACTCCAACAGCAATAATACTGCCATAGAACCCCTCACCATGATACCGTTGAAGCAAAACTAAGTCCTAATCATACAATCTTGATAAGATTTCCTCTTATTCACTGTCAGTCTGGCAGTACCCAAGAAAAGCAGCCCTGCAATAAAGGAGGATGGTCAGAGGTCGTTCTGCATTTGGAAGAATGAGATTCTATGGGAGGACATGAATTCATCGGGAGGGTATTAATAGCAAAGTGAAAGCTTTATGTGCTCCATATAAAACACCTTGCAATCTCTAAGCTGTCCTGAGGTAAATTAAAAGTAGATGGTATTGGAACAAGATGTGACAACTAATCAGGTGAGCTTTTGTACGATGGGGGGATGGGCACTATTTTGGGATATCTTTTGTTATTTGGGATATTTTTTGTTATTTTTTTTGTAATGGGTGCTCCATCATTGCAGGCTTTTAAAAAGAGATCGGACAGCCATTTAGTATAGGGCAGGGATGGTGAAGCTTTTCGGCACCGAGTGCCCAAACTGGAACTCGCATGCATGTGTGTGCATGTGTGTGCACCGGAGCACCGGAAACCTGAAGACCAGCTGGCCAGCGCATGCATGCCTGTTTTTTGGCTATTTGGGGGGCCATTATCAGGCCATTTTTGGGGGGCGTTTTCAGGCCATTTACCGGCCAGTTTTTGGGCCAGTTTTTTGGCTGTTTTCCGGTGCTCCAGCACCTGCAAAGACCAGCTGGCTGGCGCACATATGTGCACCAGGTGACAACGCATGTGCCCACAGAGAGGGCTCTGCGTGCCATCTCTGGCATGCGTGCCATAGGTTCACCATCACAGATATAAGGACCCTTGCTTGAGCAGGAAATTGGACTAGAAGACCTCCAAGGTCCTTTCTAATTTTGTTATTTTGTTATTGTTTGTTTATTTGTTCAGATAACCAAATTATTTTGGCCCATTAGTTACCGCTGGACACCCCCCCCATTGATACCAGTCCTTATGGCAAAGGCAAAAAGGTTTCCTTCTTCTGTCGTTCTCTCCATCTTTGCTGTTAGAAGAAGCAAAAGACAGAAATGGTTTTGTCCTCTCTCTGTAATTGCAAAAATAAATGGGGATAGGTTTTCGGGATGGCTTATAGCAGAAACAGATGAATGTTCATTGCAGATGCCTTGTAAAATAAAGTATTTTTCAGTTGCTACAGGAAGTTTTAATGTGCTGTAAAACATGAGGAAATGGACATTGGGGAGGGGGAACTCTGCACAGTAACCCCTGCAGTAAATATACAGCCATACTAAGAAGACACCAGGGAATTATTCATCTGCTCCCCACAAAAAAAGGAAGCGTTTCAAGGTAAGGGAAACTTTCAAGGGAGGAAGTGAATCAGGCTTTGTGGTGGGAGGGAGAAAGTCTCCCAGAATGAAAGACACACCAGCCTCCATCTATTACACAATCCTTTTGCTATGTGGGGGTGGTTGCAAAATCATCAGAAAGCTAAAACATGTTTGGCAAGAAGACTAAAGTATCTAAGCGAAACTCATCACTAGCTCAGCCTTTTCTCAGAGACACCCATATGTATGGGTTCTAGTCAATGGGACAGAGTTTCCCTATGAAAATAGGGAAGGGGGATTGCCATTAGCTTTTGAAAAAAAAATTAAGAAGACATTCCCTGTTTGCTAAAATATGGAACAGAAAATATCAGCTAGAAAAAAGTCCTTCCTTCCTTCCTTCCTTCCTTCCTTCCTTCCTTCCTTCCTTCCTTCCTTCCTTCCTTCCTTCCTTCCTTCCTTCCTTTCTTTCTTTCTTTCTTTCTTTCTTTCTTTCTCTTTTTTCTTGAGGCACCTAAAACCTCATGCACTGACTTAAAACTCTTTTTTTTCTTCTTCTCTATGCATATACACTATCTTCCAAATTGCTATTTTATCATGAATGTTTTATTGTATTATATTCTGTCGTGACACCATGAGAGGTCTAACAGATTTGGTGCCATATAAGTCATTAAAGAAATAAATAGATGACACTAATCTAAATAAATAAATAAACAGTTTAAACTCCTTAACCTTACTTAGATTCAAAGTAATCCCAACAGACTGTGATGATGAATGGGATTTAGTTGGTTAGTAATACCTAAAAACATGCTTGAGGAGAAGGACAAGATAACTCCATCTCCAAAATCTTATATAGAAGTTGAATCTAATTTCAACAATGACTATGGGAAGTATCTTCCTCTATTTCATAGGCAGCAGACTGGCCTCAGGGAAGGACATAAGCAGTACAATACTATCCACATAGGACTTGCATACTTCCCATTAAAAAAAAGAATGCAATACTTTAGTACCAAAGGTACCAAGTGTATTACATTACCGCAAGCAAGAGGTTATGAAGCTTTGTTAAGTAGTCAAGAACATTCTCAAAAACTGTCTGTGGTCACTGATCAAACATGACTGAGACAATAAATTCAAGTCCTAAACAAATGAATACCTTCACAACAATGATATGACGTATGGATGGTCAATAACCAATCTATTACCCCAGGATCCAAATGGGTGCATCCTATGAGAGCCAATGTAGTAAAATAATTCTTCAGTTATAATTCTTGCATAAAGAAATGGCTACATATTAATTTTGCTTCCACCCCTGCTCAGGAATGGACTAGATAAATAGGTTGTTTGGATATATCAAATGATTTTTCTCATACTTTCCATAAAGAGCCAACATGTCAAGTGAGAATTCTATTCTATATTCCCAAATAATTAAAACCTAGTAAAAGTCATCTGGACACTTTAGAAACATGGCTGGTCCAAAGATATATCCAGATTGTTAATCTTGGTTTCAGAATGAAGGTTTCTCAATCCATGACAAGTTGCAATGTGAATCTTGGAATGCCTTATCCTGCCAATCAGCTAGAGTTAGAGAACCAGTGTTTAAAATGCTGGGCTAGAAATCAGGAAACTGATTTCTAGTCCCCTGTTAGGCATGAAAAACTGATTGAGCCCATCACTCTTTTCTCTGCCTATCTCATCTCACAGAATTATTGTTGCAGAGAAAATAGGAGAAAGAAAGAATATTGAAAGAAAGAATATTGGTACTGTATATTCACTGCCTTGAGTTGTATATGAAAAAAAGGTGGTGTAAAAATAAAAAAATACCCCTAAACCAACAGATGGTCTAATTTATGTGGACTATCCAATATATCATGGACTATCAATATATCAGTAGTTAAGTATTTAGATCACTTCCTTGGCTCCAATTGAAATAGAGGAAAGAATAAAATAATAAGATGTTTTCAATATTGTAAAAAAGTCTTTCCCCCACCCCTAAACTTCCGATTGTTTTTCCCAGTGGCATCATGTACAACTGGATGCATACCAGCTTTTCAGGATATGAGGAAAGCTCAAAAATGTTTGTATTTTTGTTAACAGCCAATATCATATGTTAATGAAGTCATATGGATTCCAAATTGCATTCATGGCTCCAAGCCATATTAATTCAAGACTGTGTAACATATTTATAAAATAAAACATGCTAGACTAACTTTGGAAAAGGTTTCTTATACATTGGAATGTCATCAACTTCATGGGTTTTCATTTTTTTGTAAAGAAACTATCACATTTCATTGTGAACCTTGAACTACTTTTCCACATCTACCATAACTTCAACATGTTGCCTCAGGGGAAAGGATTTTGAAGACTAAAAACCAATAAGTCACTACCATGCAATCCTATATGCAAGTAAGAAATGTGGAGTTCATATTTCCCCTGAAAAACATACAGTATGAACAGGGAAGTTGTAGCAAAAGCAGCTACCAACTCAGGTATTGGAAAATCTCAGTCCAGGGTTTTCTCTGGGTCTCCCACAAGTACCAGGTCTCTGTTTAGATATTTCCTTAGCTAGCCTAATGGCCCTTTTTAGTTAACATTTCTAAATTATCTTTTTGCTGGTTACTGATAAGTAGAGAAAAGCCAATGTATTTCTGAGACTGCAACATTTCATTTATCTTTAGAAATTTGATAGGTACAAAATCAAGGGTCATCTAGCACCTCTTGTTACTTTGGGTGGGGACAATGGGATTTATGCTCCAAGAAATCTGAGGAGCTCCAGGGTGAATTAAAGTCTTCACACTGTAAAGCATCAACACACTGATTCTGTCAAATTGTCAGCACAGCTCACAAAAAGCAAAAAAGGGAGAGAAGTGGATAACATAATGGAAAGAGAGAGAGATTTGATCATTTAATGGCAGTCAGGAAGCAATAAAATAATTGAGATGCTATTGGGAGTAGAGCCAGAATTTTTCTGAAATACAGAAAAATAGCTTTTATTGAGTTTCTCTTTGTCCCTTTAACAGTAGAGGGTTTTTTTTAATGTTTAACTTATCTGACTTTTCCACATCCTTTGTCTTTTCAAGGGCATTTTCTATTTATTTTATTAATCAGTTCCCTGTTTACCATTCTCTCCCTGTATCAGAAATTTCTGGCTGACTCTGTATGTTAAAATAAGTAAGTAACACACATCGCTATTATTTTGGCTGAATCTATATTTCATTATCTAGCACCATCAATAAATATGAGACCATGCCTCTAGCTCTGTTTCAGTCATGGAATGGGAAGCAAAAAAAGTTAGACGGAGAAGTTTATGAAGAAGCTTCCTATTCCAGTTCGATCACATTTATCACTAGGTGAAGAAAACAGTAGGGTTATTATAATTTATTAAAGATTGTCCCAACATCTTGAAAACATTTAGTTTTTCTGAAAGCAAATTAAGGTAGAGATGTGCTTTGTCAAATCAGCCAAGTAGTGATTTTGGCCTAGTTGGCAACTTTCTTTCTCATCCCCAATGAAATCATAGAAGTAAAGGCAATAATCCTTTCTCCCCCTAAGAACTGGTCAGTAAAATAAACAAGATTATGCTTGTCCTAATCTAGGCAAGACTTGCTAATCTTTGAATGTAGTACAATTCTTTTCACTAAATTGAAGAGCCTAGAACTTAATTAAATCTCTATGAAAGTGGAACTTTGAGACTGCTGCTCTATTTCTTCAGTAACTTTGGGACAGTCCCTCCCTCTCACTTCAGCCACCTAATGAGAAGGAAGGACTCACTGGAGAAGAGCCTAATGCTGGGAAAGACTGAGGGCAAAAGAAGAAGGGGACGACAGAGAATGAGGTGGCTGGATGGAGTCACTGAAGCAGTAGGCATGAGCTTAAATGGACTCCAGAGGATGGTAGAGGAAAGGAAGGCCTGGAGGAATATTGTCCATGGGGTCGCGATGGATCGGACATGACTTCGCAACTAACAACAACTCCCTCTCAGCCCAACCCATCTCATTGGGTTGTTGTTGTGGGGAAAAGAGGAGGAGGAAGGAATATTATGTATGTTCACGGCCTTGAGTTACTTATAAAGTAGTAAAGGAGGGATAAAATATATATAATCAATAATTTTTTTAAAAAAAAAATAAGGACAGAGATGCTTTGTCCCATGTTGTTTGATTGACATTTTGAAGGGAAACGTGTTCCCGTGATTACTGAATTTGTAATACTTGTGTAAGGGAGCTGTCTAGGTGACTTTAGTTGTGTCAGGTAAGTGTGTAGACCCTGAAAGAGTACATTTATTTTATGTGATAGACTGAGCTTGTGAAGAAAGCCTGTAATTCCAGGTTATTATCAGGGCAACTTCCATCACACTCCATGCTTATGACAATCTGGGTTGTTGAATGTGATTAAAATAACTGCGTAGTAAATGTTAGCGACATCAATTGGCCTTGAAACCTCAGGAAACAATGAGAACCAATTCAAAACAGCTTGTTTGTTCAGGCAGTATCAGTAGCAGTCACATGGAGATGTGGTTTCAGAGGAAAAACACTGAGGGGGAGCCAAATAGGTGACAACATGGCTATACTAGAGAGAGGGAAAGGTTTTCACCAGTTTTATTGTGTTATTCTAACTTCCAATTATAATCCAAGGGTTATAATTATAATACTATTATAAATAGTGCTCGGATGATAGGAGCTAAAGCAACCTTCTCTAATTTTGTATCCTCCCTGTGATTTGTATTATCTATTCCTTCATATTGGGATTAAAGTTATATTTCATGCCTGCCAAATTAGGGAACAAGGAGATTGAAGGAGGGGGTGAGGAACCCACAGCCTCTAAATTCCATATGGCAATCCTGACACATTTGTTCAATTTCTAGGGTCCTCCAAAATTGTACAGCAAAAAAAATAAATAAAAAAAAAATCAGTGGGAAGTTCTTGGTTTTTGAATGGCACAGTTTTCTGCATGCAAAAACTAAAGACATTATGCATTATGCTTCTAGTAGAATTAACACACAGGTAGTCCTTGATGTATGTATGACAGGTTGTTTAGTGACTGTTCAAAATTACAATGGACCCAAAGTTACTTATGACCAGGATTCAAAGTTTTGATGGCTGTTCTCCACCCCCTGCACCCATGTAATCACTTCTTGGGTGCTCAGCAACTCATCTGCATTTATGGCCATTTGCAGTGTCCCACAGTTGTATGGGTTCACTTAACAACTGTGGCATTGTCCTAACAACTGTGGTGTTTACTTTATGACCATGTTTGCTTAACAACTGCTGCAGAATAGGTCATAAAATTGGGCATGGTCACATAATGATCCACTTAACAACTGGTGTGATTTACAGCCATAATTCTGGGTTCAATTACTGTCATAAGTTGAGGGCTATCTGTATTCTGACTGAAAATAGTGGCCTTCATTTTGTCCCTGCTCCTTCAGTGTTTTTTGTTACACTCCCTGTGATCTTGAAGTGGAACAATAGTAACCCATAATAAAGAATAATTACTATTCTATTAATAATAGAATAGAATAATAGAAAGTATTATTAATTAATAAGATTAAAATGTGGCCACTGGCCAAACCAGGATAAGGAAACAATGGTTTTCCCTTCCCTTCCCTTCCCTCCCCTCCCCTTCTCTCACTAGTAATATTCAAAAGATGGGGTTTCAGGCTTATCATTCAGTGTTTGAGTATTCTTCCCTACCTATTTCAAGCACTGCCAAATAAGATCCCAGAAAACTACAATTCCAGAATTTCTTGGGAATGTGCCATGATAATTTGAATTGTTTAGGCTTAGACTGTAGGATACAATACACAGGCTCATATCCAAATCGAAAGTTGAAACAGATGCCTTGGGATCCTGAAACTGATTTTTCATTCCCACAGCATTCTCGTGCATAATTTAAATGTAGTCACTGGAACAGCTAGTAACTTAGCTTGCTTTAGATAATGGAAAGAGTATTTATGTGATCATATTTCAACATTCATGGAGGTTGGAGTTTGCAAAAAGACTGGAAGATCATTTTGAGGAAGTTGCTATCCAATTGCAGGTGATTGATTATCAAGAAGAGAATGCTGAGGTTGTGACAAAGTATATGCAGATTTGGTTATGGTGATGAACCAAGGCCATTATTGTTGTTGCATATTTTAATGGTGCTATGGTAAACCAAAATGTGCTATGCTAGTCCCATCCAGTAGAGAGGTAAAGATTTGTTACCGTATATTTCTAATTTGTCCTATATCTATTACCAAATGTCTACTGAATTGATGAATATGATACAAATCTTAGTTTTATAAACCAAGAACAGATTGCAAAATTGTAACCACCTTGAAAGAAATACAGTAATTACCTAAAATCAGCATAGATTTGACAGCAACAATTATTTCCACACTAACCATCTCTCTCTCTCCCCCACCCCACTCTCTCTTTCTCTCTCATCAAGTAACTTTAGTAGATTGTGGGGATGTAAAAGACCTAATGTAATTTGATAAATGCATCTGATATAACATTTTGTAACCTTCTGATTAGCAAGCTAATTAAATGAGGAATGGTTTGGCATGACAATTAAAAGTATCAAATTAGCAGCATTCATTTCTAGGCCTTGTTTTTCCTCAACATATTTAATTACTGTCGTGGATGAGGGATTGCTTATTATGTTGACAGATGACACGAAATTGGGTAGGATAGCTACTGTCTTAGAATATCAAAATAAAATTCAAAATGATTTTGATAGGTTAGAGAAATGGGCTAAAATAGTAGCATGAAATTTAATAGAGACAAACGTAATGTTATTCATTTAGGAAATATACAAATGTGCAAATATAGATAAGGATATATCTGGCTTGACAATAGTTTTAATGACAAAATATATGAAATAATAACTGACTACTAACTGAAAAACTGAATATTAGTCAAAAGGATGATATGCATGCAAAAATGCATATTCAGGTTGTATCAATTAAAATTTAGTTTCCAAATCACAAGAAGTGCTTTGATCAGTTTCCTCTTGAATATTATATCCACACATTTTAAGAATAATCCAGATAAATTCCAACTGGTTCAGAGAAAGGCAACAATGAGGATCAAAACCAAGTTCTGTGAAGAGATATTGAAAGAAGGAATATTTTGCTATAAAACAAGAAGATTGAAGGAGAATATTATAGCTCCGTTCAAATAAATGAATGTCTTACAGAAAAAGATTGAGAACTATTCTCTATTATAGCAAATTAATAATAGATTTATGAATTTTTTGGTGGCTTGGAACCAATGTTGACCCCTGACTACTATCTGGACAAATCCTTGCATTTTTCTAGATAAGATTTCTAAAGTGGATTGCCCTTGCCTGCTTCTTAGTATTGAGAAAGATCACCCAATTGACTTCATACCTAAGCTGGGACTAGAACTCGTGGCTCTGGATTTAGAACTCCTGGTTTCTAGCCCAACACCTTCAACTCTACACCAAACTGATTCCTTAGATTTGGGCAGTAGGGAAACCTTCTTAATATTCCTTCTTAAGGAGCCTGGACAGCTCTGCAGACTAAGCACTGTAATTTAACACCAGCTGTCTGCAATTAAAGTAAGTTCGAATCTTGCCAGGCTCAAGGTTGACTCAGCCTTCCATCCTTTCTAAGGTAGGTAAATTGAGGACCCAATTTGTGGGGGCAATAAACTGACTTCGTATAAATATACAAAAGTATGAAGGCTATTGCTTAACGCACTGTAAGCTGCCCTGAGTCTACGGAGAAGGGCGGCATATAAATCAAATTTTTTTAAAAAAATTAATTGCTGCTCAGCAGTGGGTATAACAGTCGATATAATGACTGACTAGGTTATGGGCCTCTTTTCATTGGTGTTTTTCGAGGAAGGCTAGACAACCTCTGTCAGGGATGTTTTCATTTAGATTTTTCCTCTAAGCAGGTTACTGGACTTAATTTCCTTCCAAATTTTGCAATCCTAAAGTGTGATAACAGATTCAAATCTTATTTCTCATTCTGAGAACACCTCATATATAGATGTGGATGAGAGACATGACACTTCGTTTTTATTCTCCTCTCAGAAAGGCACATTCAGTGTACTTCCAACTTGGGCATCTCTCTATTACTTTATGCTATCATGGGATTTCAAATTGTTTGATTCTTAAAATCATGTCCCAATCCAGAACCTATTTTAAGTGATCTCCAGGAAATGGAAGAGATTCAGGATAGGTATCTAGCAAGTCAAACAGTTTTTCCCCCTGATCATCTTAAAAGGAGAATTCAGTAAGGTCTGTTTTACAGAGTTTTTCCCTTGCTGCAATCTTTTCCAAAACCACTGTTATAAGGATAGAAAGGTCAGTGTCAGAATTGTGATGCATTGTCCTGAATCTCTTCTCCATCTTCTGAGTTTGGCAGAATGGAAAACAATGGGCTATGACTGAGTAAATCATAATGACTAGGGATAAGATAAAACTACAATTGTCAGCCATTCCAACATTACTGTAACTCACTAGTGAGGAAATGTTTTAAGTGATATTGCAGCTAAGGAGCTTCATGGAGGATCATAGAATATTCTGTTTAATTATTAATTCGAAATTATTGAACCAGCTTAAAAAACCAAAATATTTGGTGTAATATTACATTGCCACAATTTACAACACCTGAATCTTTTTGAATCCATATGATTTGCTTTTGCCATATTAAATATAATGTCTTGATGTAAGCCAGACAACAACTTGTGTCATCATGGTGGTGTCACGTGACGTATTGGGAATTTTTTTCCCCTTTGGCCCTGCTTTTCCCCAGCCATGGGCGTGGCCAACACGTGATGCATCTGGCCTACAGGTCACGAGTTTGACAGCCCTGATGTAGGCTGTAAGCATTTAGATATGTAGAAAATGTGTGTTCTTAACCAGTTGAAGACATGCTTATTATATTAACAACTGTAAGGATGTAGATACAGAGGCATAGTTAGAACTATTCCTGAGATTAGGGTTGTCTTTATGAATAACGTCAATACTTAGGACTTAACTCCATGTTTATCTCTTATAAAATCTCCTGTGTTTAGCCATTACATCAAGAACAGTTCTGGAAAAATCCAGAGAAGGGAAATAAAAAGTAAGGGATGGAGAAAAAGAAACCTAAGAAAATGTTTATGAAAATGCTCTGTTACCACAGAGGTTTTCTGACATGTAGAATATTAAAAAAATGGAAATGCACTGCAAGATGCCAAGCTATTACAACTGACTCTAGTTCAGGTCTGTGGCAAGTGAGTTAAAGTGGGGAAAAAGCATAATTGCAGCCACTGCCCAAGCAATCAGGAAAACTCAATGTAAATATTTTCATAGCAAGTCTGAAGAGCTTTGTGGGGCCAGGGTGATGAAAATCAGCTTGTTCCCCACCACTCCTATACAACTGAAGCTGTGGAGAATTGTGATTTCAGGGCAAATATTTCTTGCTCCATAGACATTTCCTTCCTCTTTTCCATTTTTCCCCCCTGCCATCCACACCTCCAGTCCAGCATCCAACACTGGAATGCTAAAATGACCTTCCTAATGTTTTGAGGCCAATCTTCTCCCCTCAGCATTATATTTTATTTCTGACCGGCTCTTCGTTGGAATGACTTTCAACAGGCTTCTTTTGACTTTAGAAAATGAAAGAGCAGACTTTAAACAAACAAACAAAAAGTGCTAAGAAATGTTTTCCTCAGCCTTGGATTTTCCAGTCTGGTTGGCAGTAGTAACTATTGTACGGAATATATTCTCTTTCCGTTTTGTCTTCCCTTTAAGGACTCAACAGACAGGAGGCCTCTCTTCATTTTCTCCTCTCCTCCTCTTCCTGAAAGGCACTACTTGGCTTGAAGTAAGGCCTTGATTGATAGGAATGTGATCCTGGGTCTCTCCAATCATAAACTGACTGGTAACTGTCATATCACATTGGTGTTAGTTTTATTAACCCCATTATTCTATGTTCTAAATGAAGGATGGCTGTGGAAACATAAAATGGTTAGCAAAGTTGTTGAAACCAACTAATTTGTCCTTTCTAACATGGCTAATTGGTGCTGACCTTCTGCCAACAACTAATGTCAATCTGGGCAATTTGTAAGTATGGGTGCCAGTTTGGGTAGAGAAAAGGGGCATGTGCTCCCTCTCCCCTAGGCCAATCTCCTGTGCTGAGCAGCCAAGCTATTTGCTATCCTCAGTCTCCAGCAAGTAGAGGGTCTCTGACACCTCAGGTTCTTGCTGTCCTAATCCAAACAATCAGTAATCAAAACCAGCCACCCCAGCAGGGGAATGAGGAAGGGAGGAATGAAGGGGCTGCCACTGAATGCCTGCCTCTTTCCTGCTGTTGCCTTATCCTGTTTGTCTCTCTTGACCCACTTGGCCTGGCCTGGCCTGGTCTAGTCAACTTAGGTTTGGGAAGCAGACTAAGTAAGACTGTTGAGGTGCACTCTTTTGATTTAACCCTAAACACTCCGGAACTGTGGACAAGAGGGTTTCCATTTGGTAGGAATTCCCATCTTGTCCTGGGATTTTCATTTTCCCAAACTTCTTGGTCATTTGAGTAGATAGCTTTTATAACTCCCTTTCCATATAACTCCTTTTCCATAAAGAAAATAAGTGGAAGAATGTGTTGACTAGACTGCCAATTTATCTCCTGTTGGCCAGATATGGACAGTCATTCGGTTCTTCCTTTTTTTCCTTATATGCTAAAACATATAAAGAGCGGTTGCTGGAATTGGGTCAGTCTAGTTTAATGAAAAGAAGGACTAGGGGTGACATGATAGCAGTGTTCCAATATCTCAGGGGCTGCCACAAAGAAGAGGGGGTCAACCTATTCTCCAAAGTACCTGAGGTCAGGACATGAAGCAATGGATGGGAACTAATCAAGGAGAGAAGCAACCTAGAACTAAGGAGACATTTCCTGATAGATAGAACAATTAGCCAGTGGAACAACTTGCCTTCATAAGTTGTAAATGCTCCAACACTGGAAGTTTTAAAGAAGAGATTGGATAACCATTTGTCTGAAATGGTATAGGGTTTTCTGCCTAAGCGGGGGTTGGACTAGAAGACCTCCAAGGTTCCTTCCAACTGTGTTATTCTGTTATTCCTTCATCCAAACAAACCAACTGTAGTAGCAATCAAAAATTTCATGCGGGGAGTGGGTGCAAAACTGCAGCAGGTGATAAGAAGGGCTTACCTAGGACTATTATAAAAGGGCTCTTTGTCTAATCCACTTTATAAGTTGGAAGATGAAGGGGAAAGCATGTTGTAAGAGCAGCATGGCATCTGTTTTGGATCATATGAATTATAAGTAAAACCTAGAAGTGCCATGTAGCAGGGCTCATACCTTGTTTACTGAAACCAGTAAATCAGTTCCTTGATTTAAAATTATAAAATCCATAGCTAATTATCCTGATTCATCATCCTAAATCACACTTTCTATGCCAACACGAATCATGGAGGCAAACATTATTCCGACTTTTCAGAATAGACTTTGACTTTGAGGCAGGCCTGCTATTTTGATTTATGAAGCACACAACATCTTTTTTCCCCTAAGACATTTCTCTGCTTTTGGTTTGGAAAAAAAATATCATACAGTTCTGTTATTTCATTCCAATCACATGTTTCCAATGTAGATTAGATTCAAATGACAGGAGGGCAGAGATAGCTACTTCAAACCTTACCATGCAACTCCTGCATATTTTAAGAACATTTCCAGTAGACGCCAATCCCACATTCAAACTGAATGTTACTTTCTCTTTTTCCATTCTTCAAAAATCCAAAGAGGAAGCAATATAAAAGGCATTGCCAGAAGCCTCAGATAATCGCTTTTGTGCTGAATGCAGATATCAAAAAATAAGCTTTTAAGCATGTTTCCTCGTTATCTATTCTTATTTACATCCCGAAGGTGAGGAAAGTGGCAACCCCCCCCCAATGCATCTCCCTTAAAGGATTTCAAATAAGACATAGAGATGGAAGGACTTGCCTGGGTCATTCATATGGATAGGGACATCTGATTGCATGAATTATTTCATATAATATGCCTCAAAAGACTAAGCAGGGTAATCTAATTTTGTGATGGTCTGGAAGATGTAATTGAAGAAACGGGGCCTTAAAAAATTAAAAATTAGTTAAACCACATTAAGGACTCTTATTCATTTGGCCTCAATAATACATGAAAAAACATATAAGAACAATATGGAATGAGACAGTCTTTTAAAAAAAACATATGTTGTTTCTCAGCAGGCCTAATAGTGTAATCTCAAATACTATTTCCTGAACTGAGCATTCCAAAGTGAGTCAGAAATGTACGTTATGAAGGGTCTCCCAGTAAATTATTATTTTTTCCACAGAGAAACAGAAGCAGCCATCACATTCTCTGCTCGTTATGTAAACTCCATCTGTGGGACAAAAGCTGTCCCTGCTCCCTCCCATTCCATGCGGGAAGAAATGTCCCGTTTTCCATTCTATCTGGTGTATAATCAAAGGAATCACATTTTGTGGGCATTTAGTAGCAAGCCTTAGCAATTCATTACAAGCTTGGGGTTGGGGGGAAAAAATCATAGCATTTCCATCAGTGTCCCTTTATTTGTTACAGTGTCAATTTGACATTGGGGATTCTAGGTAGTGCAAATGATCAGGCCTTTCTGAAGGAAAAAAGAGAAGATCAAAGCTATGTCATTTAACAAAAGATGTTGATTTGATTTTGTCCAACACAAATGGTAACACACACACACACACACACCTTCTAGAACATTTTTAGTGTACTGCATCCATCTGTTAATATGCTATGCATGCTTATTTATTCCTGGAGATGGATGCAAAAAATGTCATTTTAACATAATTTTTTTAAAGCTTGCAACAGTTTAGATGATAATAGTTTAACCCGCAGGCTCTATTTCAAAATAACAGTCATCGTAAATGGTATTGATGCTTGCCAATATCTTTTCTAGCCCCTAAAATTCTTTTTTTAAACAGTTTCATTTTTTTTTTTTTGTCACTAGGAAACAGCCCAAGATAATGGCTAAAGGATTAGAAATAATAATAATACTCAGGATTCAAGTAAGTTAAGATGGGGTTAGATTTTATGCATTCACAGATTAGATATTGTTAAGTTCCTCAATGTATCCTTGCAAAACAAAATGGCCAGTGGTAGCACAACAAGACTTACTGTCTCTTGTGATAAATCTTCCTGAACCCTTTGATCCCTGCTGCAACAAGGCACTGTAGCTAAGCATTACAGAGAAGGAAGTCACAAGGACTATAGGTAGTCCTTGACTAATGTCCAAACTTGGGATCAGAATTTCCATTACTAAAGCAGTTGTTGAGTGAGTCACGCCCAATTTTATGATCTTTTTTTGCCATCGTTTTTAACCAAATTATTGCAGTTGTTAAGTAAACCATGTGGTCACTAAGCAAAACCAGCTTCCCAATGACTTTGCTTGTCTGAAGGTAGCTGGGAAGATTACAAATGGCACTCACATGACACCTGGGACACTAAAACCATTGTAAATACATTCCAGTTGCCAAGTGCCCAAATTTTGATCACATGACCATTGGGGATGCTGCGATTGTCATAAGTGTGAGGATTGGTCCTCACTTTTTTCAGTGCTGCTTTAACTTTGAATGGTCATTAAATGAATGGTTGTAAGTCGAGGACTACCTGTACCCTAGCACAAGAGGTTTGTGTGTCTGTGCCTGAGGACTTTCCAAGCAAGGCACTTGGAGCTTCAGAAACTTATCAATCTAAATTTTCCTTGATGAGCGGAACCTGTAGGCCCACAGACACCCTGGACTAAAGTGTCTACACAGCTTCTCCACACAAGAGATCTGGCCCTCAGGGCAGGCGTGAAATCCAACAGGTTCTGACAGGTTCTGGAGAACCAGTAATGGCAATTTTGAGTAGTTTGGAGAACCGGTAGCGGAAATTTTGAGTAGTTCGGAGAACCGGCAAATACCACCTCTGGCTGGCCCTAGAGTGGGTGGGAATGGAAATTTTGCGATATCCTTCCCTGGAGTGGGGTGGGAATCAAGATTTTGCAGTATCCTTCCCCTATCATGCCCACTAAGCCACACCATGTCCACCAAGCTACAGAACCGGTAGTAAAAAAAAAATTGGATTTCACCACTGCCTCAGGGATCTTTGGTACATAATCATCCCTCACCTAACCTTTAGAAGGATCAGGAAAAATTAGTACAGAACACAACAATAGAGTTGAAACCCCCTGCTCAAGCAGGAGACCCTAGATTATGTCAGACAAATGGCTATCCATTCCCTTCATAAAAACCTCCAGTGATGGAGTACCCACTCCCATTTCCGAAGGCAAGCCGTTCCACTGATTAATTATTCCAATTGTCAGAAAATGTTTTCTTCATTCTAGGTTGCTTCTCTCCTTGATTAGTATTGTGGGTTAGAAAGAGCAATGGCATTTTGTGGAATTAGTCCTATTCCTGGGCAGAGACAATAGTTTAAGAAAGTTGATTTGGGGTTATCCCAAAGAACAGGGAGTGACTGGTTATTTAATTGACTATAATTGCATTTTTTTAATTACTAGTGAAAGACATGCAGCATAGTTTCATTGGTCTTAGGTATCTGTCTACATTTTAATCTGCAAGTAAATGCCCTTATGCATTGCTCTGTTTTGGGCAGCAAAGTGTTTTTAGCCAATGCTGATATTTGGATTTCCATTCTTCCTTATATTTTCCCATTAAACATAACTTTTTTCCCTTGATGACACCAAAGTAATTAATTATCACCATTGGCTGTTGTCTGGTATTTTGTACACATTAACCCCATTCAATCTCTGTGAGTGTCTGTGTGTGTGTGTGTGTGTGTGCGTGTGTATGTATTGAGACAGAGATGTGTGTGTTATACGTGTACACACACAAATCTTTAAAATGCTTCAGAAATGGCAG